GAGTACAATAAACTATTTCTTGGACCGATCAGCTGCTCCCCATGTTTTAGCATGCTGACTGACTGATATAATTTGACATAGTTGTGCATAAAAAAATATGATGAATAAAATTCAAACTACCAAAGAAAGTATATTTTTTTGTCAAAATAAAAAATATATATTTCTTATATAAAAATTCTAAGGGACTTCAAGATCGTTTATCATGATATATATGCTCAATTGATTTATTTGGGACTAATCATAGATTCTCTATTCAATTAGCTATCTATTTTCAAAAGTTATATTGATATTTCTATGTTTATAAAAGTAATATATTTTATCTACTTTTGAAATATTTTTATAATTATGAAAGTGAAACATTTAATCTTGTAAAATTTTCTATTTTTTAACCGGATCTCAATGTTTTCCTTTCGTAAGTATATGGATCATAATGTAATTTTTAAAAGTGTAAAATAACTAATCAAAATTATATGTGACTTATATTTCTATAAACAGATGTATAGTTGATTGAAATTTTAGAGAAAATAAAGAGTTTTCTACACAATATTTTCTTATACGACATTTAGATGGCTCAATGTCACATATAAAATTTGAAGATTCTTTCTCCTTCCAAAGCCATGTCTACGATTTTGGCAAAACAATGCAATAAATTTACCTTTCTAACAATGTTTATTATTTATATCCTTAACAAAATAACGAATCTTCTCCCAAAATTGTTACATCCAAACAGACCTTTGCAAAACATACAAATCCTTAGGAATTTGATCGGTGAAAAGAGTGGATACCGCGACATCTTTGTAGCTTTTAGTTTGAGATCCATCTCAATCGATCTCATTAACTCAATACAAATCCTTAGAAATTTGATCGGTGAAAAGAGTGGATACCACAATATCTTTGTAGCTTTTAGTTTGACTCTCAAATGGTCTCATTAACTCAAAATGTTAATAATCCTTAGGATGTATTCAGCGCTGGCTCGGATACATCGTCCGCAATCTTGGAGTACGCCATGGTGGAGCTCGCTCGGAGTCCAACAACGATGAGAAAATTACAAGATGAAGTGAGAGGGATAGGTTGCGGGAAAGAACTAGTTAAAGAGGAGGAGGCGAACGAGATGATGTACTTGAAGGCTGTGATCAGTTAAGTGTTCCGCCT